AACTGCAAAATTATTTGTGTACATTTTGGTCCTGGAGCTAGTTAGTATAAGGCTTTCAAGTTTAAATGGAGTCAAAAAACAACGGGACTTGAGTTACTCTTCAGAAGAGGTGAGATTTCATGAATGTTATGGCTGCAGACTGAACTCCTGGTAATGAAGGTGAGTCAGATGACTACATGGTTTACGCAGATTTGTCTGATTTAAGAATAAGGTCTTTACTGAGGTTTATAGGACTGGCATTTATGGTACCAATACGTATTAAGTAAATAACAATGGATGGTATATGCCCCAGGAATAGAAAGATGAAGTGAACACACACCCTGCATTCTATTCAAGAGTACTAACAAAACTGGTGGCAAGGGCCAAGAAAATAAAATTTAGGTAACATGGGTCAACTGAAGACTGACCCCAAAGAGAAGGACTGAAGGAATCCATCTGGTCAGGATACCTAATATTTTCTGTTTAGAAACTTTGGAAGCCAACTTAGTATTACTTGTATTATTGTTGTTGTTATTGTTAAGTGCCATAGTCAATTCTGACTCATAGACACCCATATAGGGTTTCTGAGGAGCTGGTGGGTTTGGAGACCCATTTGCAGTTAGTAATTCCAAAGCATCACACCAGGACTCAAAAGTGGCATAGAAGTGCTGATAATGAGTCCAGTTGTCCTGATAATAGAATGAACACCTTGCCTTAACCAGCCACCTGACAAAAATCCAGACCAGTTTACTAGGGTAAGTGGGCAATTCTCAGTTTTGGTGGTGGAAAGGCAACCTGTTTTCCCTGTTAAAATGGATACATGAAAGCGATTGCTCTACTGATGTCAGTGTTCCCTTCTTCACATGCCCGCAACAAATGCTTACAGAATAAACCTAGATGGAGGTTAGTAAATCACTGAAATGGACGAATGATACTGAATTGTACTTTCCTTGCCTTTCTTTAATGGGTAGCGCGAGCGTTCCGCTCCCAGTAGCTGCGTTGAGGGCAGGATTCTACAAGGAAAGCTCTGGCCTTTTTCCTGGTGTGGATAGGCAGGAGCGGGAAGTCAGTAATGGTCAAAGAAGCTATGCCACTATTGAAATGCCATTTAAAGGTGCAAGGTCAAGCTGAAGAGAACAAAAAGTGTGCGTTTAGCTTGCCCTGAAGAAAGGGACCAGGCTGTGCCTCACTCATCCCCAACGATCGCCGCTCCCCCCCCCCCAAAGTCTTTGATTCTATAAGCAAGAAAAGAATGGCTCCCACACTTCAATTCTGGGACCCCGGGCTAGGGCTAGGGAGGGGATCACGCTTGAGCTTCTGAGAAGGCAGTGGACAGGAAACAGCGCTTTTGCTGCTTGGGGGTACAAACCCCTGGCCCTGAGAGGGACAAGGGCCGACAGATTGCGAGGAGGAGTGAAACTCTACTGCACTTCTCCCATTTTAGTGTGTGACGGCCGTCCCCAAAGTCACTCTCTCCTTCACCCACTCCCATCGCCACGGCCCAAAGGCCGCCACCGCAGTGAGCAGGGCCGGTGGGTGAGGGAGGCCACGGAGGGGATAGAATTAATAACTCGAGGGCTGCACTGGAGGAACGGGTCTGCGAGAATTTCCCTCATCACTTCTTCCTCTCGACCTCTCCCTCTGGAGCCCGAGACATTCGACCCGGCACCCGCACCCACAGAAGGAAACGCGAAAGGTATCAGAAGGCTCAGCGCTACCACAGTCGGTAGCCAGACGCGTGGGAGGTGCGGTGGTCCTACGTGGGAGATTTAGGGACCCAACCTGGGGTCCCCACCTGGACAGTACCGGCCCACCTGGGGGCGTGCAGGGCCCTACCTGGGAGGTGTGAAGCCCTCTGCCGTGCTCCCAGCTGCCACACCGCTACACCCAAAACCTGCTCAGTCATAGTATTTACAAAAGGAAAGGCATTATTGTTCTTCTTTGTTCCAGGGACACTATTGTCTTTTCAACTGGCTACTCCACGGAGTTTTCATTGGGTTTGCGGCCGCGTTGCCTTCCTCCCCGCCCCCACGGATTTGCTTTCCTGAGTCAACTCGAACCTATCTGGGAGCCCACAGGTCTTGCTCGTTCGCCAGGAGTGTCCTTCGTTCCGCTCCGGTTTTCCGAGCATCAAAAGCACAAAGGTCTGCAGGAAACCACCCAGTCTTGGCTAGTCACTCAGGGGCCAAGGGAAAGCGTAGCTATGACTCCTCAGGTCTGAGCCACAGTTCGTCACCCACCGTATTTAAAAGGCATGTAAATTATAATGGCCACAGCGTCTCACTAAAGTCGCCCCTAGGAGTCCAGAGAGAAAACCGGGACAGGGTTATTAGGGCAGTTTGTAGCTGGGAGCTCAGAGATCCCGAGACTGGAGCGGTGTAAGCGGCTCTTATTAGGGAAAGTCGTCCCCCCCCCCGCCCCCCCTGTAAATCTCTTGTTGAGAAAAGCAAGGCTTGCAGGAAACCATTCCGGATGTTTGCTGCTTTTCATGTGGCATTTGTGGCCGGGTCTGATAACGCCAGGAGCTCTACTTCCAGCACTGCGTTCAGTAAAAAGACTCCACACACTGCGGCCGGATCTGCTGCGTCGTCGCCCACCAAATATATGACCAGAGAATTAAGAGAAAAACTTAGATCTAGATAACCGTATGTAAAAGGGACTAGTCTTGGGAAGGCACCATAATTCTTTCCTGGAATTATGATAAAATAAACTGCTGCCTTATGTAGGGTGTCACAAGAAGAGGGGTGGAGGGCGTTCAACTTTGAAGCTCCAACTCCATTGTAGGTTTCTTCCGCTCTCATCTGATTTCTCAATAACCGTAAGGATTAATAGGTGGGCTTCAGGAACAACTGCAAGTAATAATGGGGCAACTTCACGTTTTCTTCCGAATTATTATTCTCCCTTCTTTGTTTCTCATCTGTCCTTGTAATGGGGCGGATGAGGAAGAAAGAGAGGCTGGAGAACGTGTACAAGGTTAAATACTTTTATTATTATTGTTCACTTGTGGATTTCTTGTACCCTTTTTATTTTTTAAGGAATTTTTAGTGAAGTAGATTAATTTAGACAGATAAACTGGATTCTGAAATAGGCATTGTTTCTGTTTAGTGTGCAATTTCAATTCTAAGAAAACTAATAGTTCATAAAAGCTTTGGTAGTAATAGAAAAATATGCTTTGGGATTTTCTAAAATATATTTACCACGATCCAGAAAAATTAGTGAAGAGTTGTAAGACTTCAGAACTGAAAAGGGAGCTATGGGATCAATTTGAAATTAATTTGAAATAGTTTTCCATTTGCCCTGCATTTGTGCTTTATTTTTAAAATGAAGTTTTAAGGGAAAAGTGTATAATTAAATTTAAGATCAGCTGCTTCAAAACCACCAATTAATAATAACTCTCCTCTATAATTTACAGTTTGGCGCTGTAAGATAAGCACTCAATTGCAAGGTCAGTTTAAACCTCAAGGTCCGCTGTTCAAACTCACCAGCGGATCTTGGGAAACTCTATACAGAGTCGCTATGAGTTGGGACTGACCCGACAGCACTTAACAACAATAACAATTTCCAGAGACCCTCCAACCTGCAGAGCTATTTCCCATAAGCCATTGAAAACCCTATGGTCTCAATTCTCTGACACACTTAAGGTCGCCCAGAGGTGAAATTGACTCCATAGGAACCTTTGAAAAAGAAAAACAAAAACAAAAAAAATTCCCTTAAGATTTAAAATCTTTTCTTGTCTGACCCCCAGGTACCCAAGAACTGGAATCTTTTTCTTAATTGGCTGGTGAGAGTAAAGGAACTTGCCAGTTTCACAGTTTCTTGAAAAGTTAGTTTGCTTAAAATAAATGTGTAGAGTTCTTTGGAGAAAAAAAGTGACAAAGAGACTGAACAAAGGGCCAGGGATTTGCACAGGCTTGGTGTGTCTTTATTTTTATGGATGGCCCTAATAAGACTTGACAAATTGCATTGTCACTGTAATATCACACCAAAAACTGCGTCCTTTGCCTCTCAGATTCCTGATGTGAGAACTATTTTTCCATCACTCTTCATAGTAAACAAACAAAATCTGTTCTGAAGATTTATATATTGATTTCTTTCAAAAGTTGTACCCAATTATGCAGGAATTATTGTGTTGTTAAGTGCCCAGGAGTCGGTTCCTACTCCTAGCGACCCTGTATAGGGTTTCCGAGGTTGTAAATCTTTACGGGAGCAGAAAGCTTCATCTTTCTTCCGCGGAACCGCTGGTCCTATCGAAATGCTGACCTTGAGGTTAGCAGCCCAACTCGTAACCATTACACTACCAGAGCTCCTTAGCTGCCTAAAAGAGCAACACAAATTCAATAGCCCGAAATGTGAACTTGCAGTTCAAACCGACTTCTCAGTTCAGCGCATGAACTCGCCGTACCAAACCAGGACTATATCAAACAATATATGCTTCTGGTGTGGTACTATAGGATCAGCACTGGACTGTGAACCACAAGGTAGGCAGTTCAAACCCACCAGCTGCTCTTCGGAAATCCTATACAAGGTCTCTATGAGTCGGAACCGACTCCACGGCACTTAACAACAAATATATATATGTGTGTGTGTGTTTTGTTCTGTTGTTGTTGTTGTTTGCTTGTGTGGGTACTGCGTATGATAATCAGAACTGTCTTGTGGCAAACGCCTCAAAGTTTTTCCAGAGTTCCCCTTCCCGGGTACAGAGGATTTGGTGCCACAACCCGGCTCCAGCCAGTTTTTCCCCTGGCAGGTGTAGTCTAGAATGGGGCAGGGGGAGGGGAAAAGGGCGGACGTGGGGTTGAACCCGGACTTGGAACTCGGGCCGCGGGATGGGCGTGGGCTTAAGGAGGCCCGCCGGCCCGCCCCCAGCTTTCCATTGGCCAAGGCGAGGCAGAAAAGGCCTCGTTGACTGGGGGTACCGCAGTGTCATTGGGCCAGCAGAGACGCCGGGTGCGCTGTGGGTCGGGTCTGGACTAGAATTTAGGCGGCAGGGTCTAATCCAGGAGACCGTCACAGTTCGCACTCTCCTCCGCCCAGGGCGGGCGCGGGCATCTCGGAGCCGCGGGCTGCGGGGCGAGGGGCCGGCCTGGAGCGCCATGAGTAGCCCGGATGCGGGATACGCCAGTGACGACCAGAGTCAGGCCCGAAGCGCGTTGCCAGCGGTGATGGCCGGGATGGGCCCCTGCCCGTGGGCCGAATCGCTGAGTCCCCTCGGGGACATGAAAGTGAAGGGCGAGGCGGCAGCTGGAAGTGTCGCGACCGCCGGGGCTTCTGGCCGGACCAAGGGCGAATCTCGTATACGGCGGCCCATGAACGCCTTCATGGTTTGGGCGAAGGACGAGCGCAAGCGGCTAGCGCAGCAGAATCCAGACCTACATAACGCCGAACTGAGCAAGATGCTAGGTGAGTCCGAGTCCGGGGTGTCAGCGCAAAGCGCACACCAAAGCTAAACCGGTTACTGGAACCTTAAAAGGGATTGGGGTTTGCTACGGAACCTTAAATTCCTAGTCCTTAGGAGTGTGTTGCGGCCACGTCTTTCTCCCAGGCCCTGGTTCTCATCCCGATTCCCGTTCTCCTAACTTTCTTTCCAAACTGATTTCCCGGCTTCGGTATTAGTTGCTGGTGGCGGGAGGCGCGGGGGCCCAATGACTTGCGGGGAGAGCGGCGTTTCTGCGCGCTGGGCAAAGGCAAGGGCACCAATGGCCCGAGCCAAGTCAACCCTGACTGTGGTCACCTCGACCCGTCCTCTGTCCCTTGATTGGGTGGGGGATATGATGCCAGTCCTTGAACGTCCAGGAATTGTGTGAGCAGAGGCCAGGAGGTAAAGAGCGCCAGGTTTAGACAGCCGGTTTTTGTTAGTGCTGTCAAGTCAGTTCCGACTCATAGCAAGTCTGTATAGGGTTTCCGAGGAGCAGCTTGTGAGCCTGAACCTCGACCTGGCACTTCAAACCGACTATGCAGTCCAGCGCATTTTAACCCACAGCGCCACACCAGGACTCCTTAGACGACCTAGGTTGTATCTTAATTTCCTAGCTTATTTGGATGCCTTTTCGGCAGCCGAGGGTCCCAAATCTAAACTGTTAAACTTGACCCGTTCTCCCTCAGTTGCTCAGTTGAAGGCCCGAGTGGGTAACAGAGTGCACGGTTAATCTCTGGTCCTCTCCCCCACCTTCCGCTACAGGCAAGTCGTGGAAGGCACTGACGCTGGCGGAGAAACGTCCTTTCGTGGAGGAGGCCGAGCGGCTACGCGTGCAACACATGCAGGACCACCCCAACTACAAGTACCGGCCGCGGCGCCGAAAGCAGGTGAAGCGGCTGAAGAGGGTGGAGGGCGGCTTCCTGCATGGCCTTGCAGATCCGCCATCAGCCGTGTTGGGTCCCGAGGGCGGTCGCGGGGGCATGGACGGTCTGGGCCTGCCTTTCGCGGATCAGGGCTTTCCCTCGGGCGCGCAGCTGCTGCCCCCGCACATGGGCGGCCACTACCGCGACTGCCAGGGCCTGGGCGCGCCCCCACTCGACAGCTACCCGCTGCCCACCCCCGACACGTCCCCGCTGGACGGCGTGGAGCCGGATGCGGCCTTCTTCGCAGCTCCACTGCCCGCGGACTGCCCGGCGACTTCGGGCGCTTACAACTACCCGCAGGCCTCGGACTACGTCGGGCCTCCAGAGCCACACACAGCACCCCTGCACGCCCGGCTGGGTCCCGAGCCCGCGGGCCCCGCTCTGCCAGGCCTTCTGGCGCCCCCCAGCGCCCTGCACATGTACTACGGCTCTTTGGGTTCACCGGCGGCTACGGGCAGCGCGCGCTGCTTCCAGATGCAGCCTCCGCAGCACCCACCGGGGCCCGGGCAGCCATCGCCACCTCCTGAGGCGCTGCCCTGCCGGGACAGCGCGGACCCAACCCAACCAGCCGGACTCCTTGGGGAAGTGGACCGCACGGAGTTTGAACAGTATCTGCATTTCGTGTGCAAACCCGAGATGGGCCTCCCTTACCAGGGCCATGACTCTAGTGTGAATCTCCCGGACAGTCACGGGGCTCTCTCCTCCGTGGTGTCTGATGCCAGTTCTGCGGTATATTACTGTAATTATCCTGACGTTTGACGGGGCCCTGAGCTGCCAAACCTGCAGGCTGGAGGCACAAACAGTGTTACACACTTCCTGGAAGAGCTAAGGAAATCTTCAGCCTCATGTTGTTCTGGTTCTGTTTTTAAATTTCCTTAGCATATAATTTATGGTAATTTATTTTGACTACCACTTGAACATTTGCGGTTTAAGATTTGTTCAGAGGACGTGTTTCCTACAATTACATTGTCAAGACCCCATTTGCAAGTTAACTTGACCAGTTTTGAATGTCCCCAGGCTTCATTTCCTAGAAGTTTAATGACCAAAAAATGTGCTGGTGTGTGTGTGCGTGTGTGTATAATCTTTTAAATAATAAAACTTGGATTTCTGCTTTTTCACTCTGCCAGTGCTTCTATCACACCTAGCCTTAAGAGCTAAGTCTTAAGGTCATGGGAACACGAAGATTTAAAATATTTTAGTGGTATATAATTGCTATAGATTTCTCATTATATAATAGTAGACCTAAGTGGCTTCAAAGAGAAGCCGCCAGCAAAAATGAATATTAGAATATCTGCGTTTGTTCTGAATTAATTTTTGGTAGGAAAAAGAAACCTCATGGAATTTACCTACTCTCAAGTGCTCTCTCTACAAAGAAATGGTTACTTTAGTGTATCACTTTTAAGGGGGCAGGGATCAAAGTGGGTTTTGGTTTTCTGGTTATTAATCTTAAGTAACCTTGAGACTTGCCTACAGGTACTTCTGGAGAATTTTTGCTTGTTTTGTTCCACAAGGATTCTTTCCCAGATAGCCTCCTACTCAACATGAAATTTGCTTTTAATAATCACATTTCTAAACCTTTGGAAATACAATTGCCGGGTTATAAATAATTTGAAGGAGTCGGGAACTAATAAAAACAAAACTTACATTTGACTTTTAGTCAAAATAAATGATTTAAGATACTTTTAAATTGAACGTATTTCATCTTAATTATGTTCTGATATTGTATGTTTAACCATATGTGACATTTTCTAACACCTGAAGTTCTAGATCTTTGGTGAGCTGATATGTGTATGTTAAGTGTTGTCATAGCTACCCTGTATAGCGTTTATGAGGAGCTTGAACCACCGACCTTGCAGTTTAAACGGACTTTGCAGTCCAGCGCTACATCTGGATATGTGTATACTTAGTGAGTTTTACAATTTTACAAATAGCTAGTAAAATCACTATAGAGTATCACTGTTCAGGGAGAAAACTGAGTCACAGCATTGTTATGTAGGGAGTCAGCTCTGGAGTCTGCCACTACTCTGAAGAGCTGTTTTCATGAAATGTTTCATATTGAAACAATACAGTTGGATATTCTAAGTGCTCTTGGTTTCTCTATACCGTTCCATACCTAGACCATGAGCCTGAACCAGCTGCATAAGCATGGACGCTATTCTGTAAGTAAAGAAAGAAGGAATCAGCCCTCACGCCCAGTGTTAAGGGAATGCTTAGTATCGTGAGTTCTTACAACATATTTGTATTCAGGGGCCCTGGGAGAACTTATATTTTGGTAGAGAACCGATTTAATGCTGGCACTGTAGGATAAGCAATGGACGGGAATCACAAGGTGGACAGTTCACACCCACCAGCTGTTCCTCGGAAACCCTGTGCTGAGTCAGAATTGACTGGATATGGTACTTAACAAATGTTAAGTGTTAAGAAGAAAAAGTTAAGTGAATGCAGTTAAGTGCTGTGCAGTCATTTCCAACTCATAGCCAACCTATATAGGGTTTCAAACAAGGGTTGGTGGATTTGAACTGCCAACCTCATGATTAGTAGTTCAGTGTTTATCCAACAGCACCACATCAAGCATTATGAAGAAGGGAAGGCTGCTGGAGCTGAAATATTTGGATTATCTTGAGCAATAAAAGGGTACATGCTTTCAGGAGTTCCTGGATTCTAGGAATGTTAGGGATCAAAGGTTTCAGCCACGGAAAGGTTTGTTTTGTAAGACATTTTAATTTAGTTATGTGTCCTTGATTCTGACTCAAAACCATCAGGATTTCCAAGGACTGGCTGGTGGCTTTGTGATTAGCAGTTCAGTACTTATCCTATAACACACAAATTTTATGCTAGGAAGATTTCTACCACCTAATCCAAGTAATTTTCCTCTAGTGCTTTTAACCTCAATCTTTCACATGTTCTTCCTCTAATCCTACACAGATTGTTCTGATCATTCTGAATTCCTTTCCCAGAATAAGAGTTCCTAGGAGGTGATTAAAGTGAGCAAAGGGGCTCCCCTGCTCAGTTTCTGGCTACTTTATGCCAGCCTGCTTGACCTAAGGAGATGCTGTATTGACAAAAAAGTAAATTGTCATCATGGGAGAAGATGCCTAGGGAAAAAGAGGGAAAGAAAATATTTACCAGAAAGAAGAGTTAAAAAGTCATGTGAAGATAAATACAGAAGCACTAAGTTCTCCTGAGAAAGTAATAAAAGCTAAAATTGTTAATGCACGACTAATTTCTGGGAATGTGGTTTTTGACTCATAGTGACCCTGTATAAAGTTTACAAGTAGTGGCTGGTGAATGAACCACCAATCTTGCTGTGCAAACCGACCTTGTGGTCCAGTGCATTATCCTGCAGCGGCACACCAGGACTCCAATTTCTGTGAATAGCAGTTTTATGGGAGAAAATATATTAAGGGCACATTGTTTCCTTCCACTCTACTTCAGAGGTGTGCCAGGAGAGCGGAATCTAGGGAGCACCTCTTGTTGCGTTCAAGCAGAATTCTCACTGAAATTCACCTCAGAGGATTGTTGTTGTTTAGTCCTATACCCATAAGGACCATGTATAGAGTTTTCAAAGTGCAACAGGTGAGTTTGAACCACCAACCTTGCAGTTCAAACAACTTTGCAGTCTGGTGCCTTAGCCCACAGGGCCATATCAGGACTTCACCTTAGTGGATAGTTTGCAGAAAACTAGGCATTCCCATCTCCACAATCATGAAAATATGTACATACACTTAATATTTTAATTATCATTTCAAAGAGTCCCTGATCCCCTTTACCCACCCAAGGGCCTGAAGGAATCTGGAGTGAAAGAAAGGCTTGTTGGGAAGGATTGCACCAAAGCTTAAGGCTGATTTTTCTAGATGAAAACACAATGGGTCATCTCACAACTCCTCCCTTATTAATGAGGTCTCTCTTCTTGTGGCATTTGAATCTGGGACTATGTAAGTAGAATGTTCCTCATTCAAAATATAAAAGGAGGAAAGTATAAAGGAACCCGTGATGTCCTAACAAGGTGAGAATGTCTTTTCCTTTTTGCAGTTGTGGTGGTACTGTAGCTAGTTTTCAAGGATGGTCTCTGGTGAGTCTGTCCATACCTTTGATATTCACATCTGTATGTCATCTTCCATATTTAATGAAGGTTGGATTTACTGATTTAATCCAATAGAATTGTAGTAGAAGGGATTCTAAACTAGTTCAAGGACTAAATTTACCTTTGTGGAGAGACCAGAAGGAGTGGGGAGACCCTGAGATTCCCTGCAAGGAGGAGGGCCCAGCCTTCCCTCCAGGATAACTCAGTCCCAGCTACCATCTGATTGTAACAAGAGAGACCAGCAGAATAACAGTTTAGGTATGATCCACTAGATTTTGGAGTTGTTTCTTATGCAGCAACTGAGACAGCTGTTACCTTTAAAAAAAAAACAAACAATTTTTTTTTTTTTTTTTAAATACAGGAAGGTGGGCACTGGTGGCAAAATCAGGAGATATGATTTGAATTCTGTCAGAGGCACTGACACAGTTTTAAACGGACCAAGTACAAAGTGTGGACAAAGGATGTATGATGGTATAGCATCATCAAACAGACTCTAGTCTCCCCTTTGATGGTGTGAGACTTCTGAACTGGAGACCTGCACAGAATCTACACAACTTTGAGAGACCCAGAAAAATGGAGGACATTTTCTTTCACACTAGTACTCTGACTACATCTCTGTTAAAGGATCCAAGGTGGGTCCAGTAAATTATGTTAGACTTTTAGGTTATTTAGACAAGCGACTATGAAGTGGTATCACAGTGAAACTACTGCTTTTACTTATCCTAATCTCATATAAGGAGCTCTGGTAGCATAGTGGTTATGAATCGGGCTGTGAACCTCAAGGTCAGCAGTTCGAAACTACCAGCTGTTCCATATGAGAGGCTGTGAACCTCAAGGTCAGCGGTTCGAAACTACCAGCCGCTCCGCAGGAGAAAGATGAGGCTTTCTGCTCCCGTAAAGATTTACAGCCTCGAAAACCCTGTACAGGGTCACTATGAGTCAGAACCGACTCCACGGCACATAACAATCTCAGTATATTACTATAGCAGTTTGAATCATACTACAGAAAATATCAGATTGCATTTCAAATTTATGTTGATATCAGGAAAAGCCAAAGCAGCTCAGAAAATGGAATGGGAGGCTATGAACTTAAAAACAGCAATACAGTATTTCAATCTAACAAATTTTAAATGCCCCCTTTGATTTAGTTTTTAATCAAACAATGCTTGTCACATAATACCCAACATTCCTTCCCTCCCTCTATACCCTTTGATTTATTTTGACACATGTTAAGTGCCATCAAGGAAGTTTCAACTCATAGCAAAGCTGCATAGCATTTCTGAGGAGCAGATGTTTGAATCACCAACTTTGTGGTTAGCAGTCCATTGCTTATCCTACCTCACAACACCAGGACTCCATTTTGAACCTATTAGACGTATTTTACATCCACTATTTCAGCACAAATTTATTCTTCCTGCTTAAAAGATGCTTCTTTCTGAGCCCAGAATATTTTGGGGGAAAAAAGCCACTGATGTTCCTACCCAGTTCTCATCTGGTGTAGAATAAGGAATCAAGTTTCAGCTCTAGTTTGTTAATGTAATGACCCTGTGGTGAGTCTAGTATTTTTTTCAGGTACACTGGTTCTAGAATCCGGTCCACATCTCCTCCTTTAATTTTGCCTATACCTTTTGGTAGCGTAGTGATTATGGATCGGGCTGCTAACTTCAAGGTCTGC